CTTGTGCTGCCTCTGCCTCTTCCTCCCTCAGCTGAGCCTGAGATGTCCCTGCAAGAGCATCTCCTCTGGAAAAAAAGGGTTCCCAGCACTTCCCCCACCCCGGGTCACCACCGTGTGTCCCCACCAAGGCAAGGAATTAAGGAATCATTTCCTCTCTTCCCTGGCAGGAATTTATTTCCTAATTCAACTCTTGCTCTTTCTTTCACCGGGCGAGAAATCACTTAATTCAATTTGAGGGCACGAGCTGCTCTTTTTTCCTGTTCTCTGATAACAAGATTTATGGATTTTGCCTGGATTTATGGATTTTTAACTCTCCCAAAAGGAATCTGAGGGCATTGTTGGTACCCTCACTTCAATCAGCAGCACACATGGGATGTACTCGTAGCAAAAGTCTCTCTCTTTATCTTGGAAATAAAAATTTAATCGCCTGGAATATCAGCACTGAGAAAATATCCCTGTGGGATGGGACTTCCAGGCAGGAATTCCGAGGAGGGGGCAAGTTTAGGGGTTTTTTTCTGTCTATTTTTAAAGTGGGTCCTGGTTGGAAGTGATAAAAAAAGTCATGGAGAGGCAGAGCCTTGAAATTCTTGACAGCCTTAAACTAGGAATTCTCTGGCTTTTGGTGCTTAAATAGCAGCCTCTGAGATTGGTGCTCCCAAATTTCCCAGCCCCTTCTCCCAGCACGCTCAGGGAATGACACTGGTTCATTCACAACACCCTTACAAACCACAAATAGGACATTTCCCAGCGTTTTCCCGCTGATCCAGGGGGAATTTTAGAGATGAGAGTAAAGGGAACTCTTCCTACACGACACCTCCCTCCTCAAAGAGCTCTTGGAGCAGTTTTGCAACCCACAGACTGCAAGGCAGTGGGTTCAAGGGATCTTCTAAAATAAGAAAAGGAATATGATCTACAAAGGGAGAGTTTAATTGAAGCGACACTTTGTTGTTCCTGGCACCACCAACCAGCTGCTGGTGCCAGACCCTGTTCCAACACCATTCCAGGCTGGCAGTAAACACGTCTCGCATGTTTGGCTGCTCAAATACACTCAAATACTCAAACAGAGAACTAAATAATTTGAATTTCCTCTCTACC